AATAATCTAAAAAAACATACAATATTAAATTACAAATATTAAAACTATTTTATTAAAAATATCTGTGATGAAATATAAGGAAAAAATAAGGAAAGAAACTACAACTTCACTAGACTAACATTAAATTAACTGAATAACATGACAAAGATTTTGATTGCATAACTCAGTTCCCTAAAACAGTAAAAATTATATTTTAAAAAATTTGATCGGACATTGTCCGACCCAAACAAGTTTAGATCGGACATTTTGTCAGGGACTTAATAAAAAAATTAAATTGAGCCCTGAATAGAAATGTATAAATTTGGCAAAAGAAAACCAAAACATGAAAGAATGATTACATTTTTTATTATTATAACATTTAAACAAACTTCATAATAAAAAAACAACATAACTTATGTTAATAACATAATTATTTGCATATAGTTGATGTCAAGACATAATTAAATAAGTAAATTTTTGTCAATAAATTTTCAATAAATAAAGTAATCAGAAATAATATTTCAAATATAGTAAAATTTGGGTATTTTGTAAAGTAATGTTGTTATCTTACAAAGTACCAAATAGCTTGCTATTCCAATAACATTGTCCACATATAGATTAAATGGATTAAATGTTTATTAAATTTCTCTAATTATTTGATGAGTGAAACTATTCATTAATCTAAGTTCAGTTATAGATAAAAAATTTATGGTTTGAACTAATAACTTAAAAAAATAATACATTTATTTTTTGTTTTAGTATTTCTGTATCTTGTATATTTATATATCTTGTATAACATGAAAAATGATATGCTTCAGATGGAGGAGAACAATTAGGTATATAAATACGCCAGAAAATTAACATAAATAATTATTACATGATCAAACATTTTTTTGTGTTTTTTTTTTAAACATATTCACTTCCAATATGGCTGCAAGCAACCACTATTAGAGTTGTAAGTTTCTGGAAGAGAAAAGAAATATAATAAAAGATATATTATAAAAGATATATTATAAAGAAAGATAATGATTAACAGACAACTTAAAAAATTGTGGATTATATGAATCAGGAAAACAGGACGAGCTAGTAAATTCCAAAGAACGAAAATTTCATTTAAAGAAAAAAACTTGATGAATGAAACTTAAAAAGAGTTTTTGGAGCACTTAGTCACAGTAAAAGGATCAAATTTAATTGAATTTTAGTAGATTGTAAATGAGACACTAGCTCTTTAGAGTAGCACCCATTATAGTATTTATAGAAAAGAGAAAGAGAAGCAACATAACAACAACATAACAATGGTTTATTGTTGGCTGCAAGTCCAGGTTTAACTATGTTTACAATGAGTTTTTGCACCTTGTCTAAAAGAGAAAGGGCGTCATTAGAAGATCTGCCCCATTTATGGAAATAGTATTCCGGTTTTTGGATTTGAGATTTATAGAGATAAAGAATAGAATCCAGAGTTAGATAGTAGCAAGCATGATAATGAGATGCAACCTAACTGGATGTTAACTTTGCAATGGATTTGATATATATCAAATCACGGATCATCAAATGAAACCCTTTCTTTTTTAGACAAAGTGCAAAAACACATTGCAAATATAGTTAGACCTGCTCCTGCAGCCAATCTCCAACCACTGTCGCGTGCTCCAAAAATTCTTATTTGTCTTTTTTTTTTTAATAAACATTAGTTCTTTGGAATTCACTACCTTCATCTTGTTTTCCTGATTCATATAATTTGCAATCTTTCAAGTGATCTGTTAATCAGTATCTCGCTTTATAAACTTCATTTTTTCTCTTCCAGTAACTTCCAACTCTTTTAGTGGTTGTTTACAGTCTTGTTGGAATGAAGGATTTAATAATCTTAAGGAAGGATTAAATAATCTTAAAAATGTTACCTAATTTACAGTAAGAAGAGAGCTTACAGAGAAGTCCAGAATGCCAAACTTTATCAAAAGCTTTAGAAATGTCAAGAGTGATAACCTCTAACCTTTCGACATCTATCAAATGCACAATAAAACCTATCAGTTATTACCGCTAATAAAACAACAGTAGAACAAGACAATCGAAACGTTGCAGACTGGAAAACAAAACTTTAATAAGCACTTGTTGAATAGTTTTCAAAGTATTGACAACAGCTAGAATGAACACTTCTGCAAGACTATCACAGGTTGTCCAGACCACAAGCTGTAGAAGATTCTGAGCAAGAAAATCACTTTAGATATGGAAACTGGAGTGATACAAATGTCAAGCAATGGATCAACATGCTTGTTGACTTTATCAGGTAGGATGTGATTAGTGGAATCAAGAGATGAGATAAAAGTTTTTAGCAAACAATTCAACTTTGTCTTTAGGGGAGGTAACAAATTCTGAACCATGCAAGAGAGGAGGAATAACAGATTTTTCCTTATTATAGACACTGTTAAAGATTCTCCAGAAGTCTTGAATAAAATACGATTTTTTGTGACCTGAAAATAGCCTGAATCTGATGATGAAGAAGAATGAGATAACAGTTTTCGAGAGATCAAACTGTGATCAGAAATACCTAAGGGTGAATGTAGAGAAACTGAGCACTGACTAAGATCAGAAACAAGACATGAGTCAATTAGAGAAGGTAAATAATTTGGATTATCTGGAAAGCAAATTAAAAAGTTGATTACTTGTATTAGAGATTGAAAAAAGCAAATGTTATGGACCTTAATACCTGTAGAGTCACTGACACTAGAACTAAGCTATTCAGGTGTTCACAACAATAACGTTCACAATGATAAATGTCAGGTCATTGTGCAAGATCCATACCATAGAGATACAACTAATAATTATAAAAATCATGTGTAATTAAGTTGATTATATGGTTTTTAGTCAGCTTTTCATTTGTTTAGTGTCATAGCTCTTTGTTTTTTTATTTAATTTTTATAGTGCACCTGAATCAAAACAAATTTTTAGGCACCCAACCCAAGGTATCCTAATTGTATTTGATGTTGACATAATAGTATATTTTTTAAAAAATTTAAATACTTATAGAAAATTTCAATAAAAAATCAGCATTTCCTTAAAAAATCTATATTCTTTAGTATATTAAAGGGTGTTGTAAATGCCCCTCTAGCACCCCTGAGACAGCTTTTCTAAACACTTATTGTCCTTTTTAAGACTTTTTAAAACATTTTAAAGCATTTTGATTAGAATTGGCAAAACTATGACATTTTAAGTTAAGAAAAACATTACTTTAAGCTTAACTTTTAGTAGTGTTTTTTGATTTTGATAACTTTTTCACTACTAAAATACTATATTGAAGTATTTTAAAGGTGAAAAAGATATCACTCTTTTTAAAGATAAATAAAAACTAGTAATTGATCTATTTAAAAATATCACGTTCAACTCTGAAAAAAAACTGTTCCACTTTTTTTGAAGTCTGGTTTAATATGGTAAGAACATTTTGTAGTCTGATTTTTTATAACTTAATATTACTTTTGATATTTTTTTAAAAGTGAAATAGTTTGTCTTTACATTATTGTTTTCATTTTTCAAAGTTACTAACATTTATATCAAGTTTATTGATATCCAAAACTTCTTCATTAAATAACTATCAAAGGAAGGTAGTACTTTTAAAGCTAACTTTGTTTGTAAATGTACTTATTTTTTCACTACTTGCCAAATTTTTTTATAATATTTTGACACTCATATACCATTCTAGGATGCTCAGATAAGGTACATATTTTTGGTAACTACTTATGATTATATATAATTGTGATAATATAACTTATACAACAGCAAAGTACAAAGTATGCAATAGCATCACAAGCTTTCACTTGATCATATTAACTTCATATTCAAAATGAAAACAAGTTGTGTAACTTGCAAAATAAATGTACAGCAAGTAGTGTAACTTGCAATTTTTTTGATATATGGCCTTTAGCCTATGTTCACGGCACGTCTATTGACAACAATGATTATTACTGTGTTTCATTAATGGAATTTAATCACTAACTAAAAGCAAACACACATATCAATAAAAAATATTATTTTAAAATGTGTCTACTCTGATGAAACTCTAATGTATCTTGTAATACTTCTTATAATATGGTAAAATAGGTTTACATTTAAAAAAAACATTTAAAATAGTATTTTTTATTTTTTAAAACCTCATTTAAAATAGTATATTATGTTTTTATTTTAGGTTAAAGGGAAAAGGACATGCCCCTTCCCCTATATCCATGTGTGCTGCTAGTTTACATTGTAAAATAGTAAAATACAATTTTGATTTTTGATGCTAGATGTACTAGGTTTATTTTATTGTAAAAATTTATTGATAAAAACAATTATAAGAATGATTTATTTTTGAAAAAAAAGAGTGTGTTAAATCTTAACATCTATTGACCACCCTAACTCATAGATGAACCTTTCATAATTGGTGTTGATCTGTAACAACTTCTCTTATATAAAAAAACTCAATTTTATGACAAAACACTCTTTTATAAATAAAAACTTCATTTTTGTTTATTTGGGTGTGCCCCTACTAGCCCTTTTCATAGGCTTGATTGCTAAAGGATATTATAATTTTGTAGGTTATTCTTACACTATCTTCTGCTACTAAGTTATAAGCATTTCAATGAACTTAAAAAAAAAATTTAATTTATCTATTTTTTTTTATCTTTTTTTTTTTTTGTCCTTTAGTTTAATCAAGAAATTCATATATTAGAAATTTGTCACTTAAAAGTATATAAACTTTTGTAAAACTGTTTGATTTTGATAATTTTTTCATTTGTGAACTATTGCATTAAAGGCCTTTTTAAAGATGTATAACATTCTAGTATTTAATGTAATATATATATATATATATATATATATATATATATATATATATATATATATATATATATATATATATATATATATATATATATACATATATATATAAACATTTTATTGCAGGCCAACAGTATAATAATTAAAAATAGAAGTATCAATTATTTATATACTAAAAAATATGTTATTTAATTTATTTGCACAAAAAGATAAACCACCTGAAAAGTTGTAACTGCTAATGTATGCAATTCGTTAAGCTCATTTAATTCATTATCCATTTTTATTAATCAAATTTATTTACAGCATGTAAATAAATCGTGGTTCACTGAATATTATGCTATTCCATACGGCATCAATGTGTAGTATATGTAATTATTCAGCCATAATGCAATGCATGTTACTTTTGTCTTCTTTTCTTTAATATATACAATATATTTATTACATAAGAAAGTTTATTATTCTTAACATTTTTCCATAAGTAAAAAATCGTATAAAATATTTTGTTTTCTTTTGAAACGCTGTCGTTGAAAGGTAATACGACTATAAACATTATCACCCCTACAACAAAACAATAACTATACGCGTCATTAAAACACATCCTGTTATATTACATATTAGATTACATTTTAATCAAAACCTAAATTTTATTTCACGTTAACAATATTGCAGCTTGCAAAGTGTTTTCTGCGACTTTAATTGCTACTTGATTACTTTAGGGTTAGTTAAGGCGCAAACGATTTGCCTTGCGATTTTATTGTCAAAAAATAAACTCAGTTAGAATAACTGCAGATTTTTGGTTTAAGCTGCGTGCAAATATTTACATTCTGGTTTAAAGCACACATTTTACGATGTATATATATATATATATATATATATATATATATATATATATATATATATATATATATATATATATATATATATATATATATATATATATATATTTGAAAGATTAGTAACAAGTTTTGTTAGATACGAACTAAAGATTAATTAATTAATCCTTCGACTTTAAACATATTGTCCAATATATACTACGAATTTTAAAATTAATTTTAATAACTTTTTATGTAAAAATTTCCAATTTTATAATTTATTAAATAGTAACTAAATTCTACAATCTTAACTAAAAGTACGTGTGCAAGATTTTTGCATATATATATATATGCAAAAATATATATATAATATATATATATATATATATATATATATATATATATATATATATATATATATATATATATATATATATATATATATATATATATATATATGTATATATGTATATATATATATATATATATATATATATATATATATATATATATATATGTATATATATATATATATATATATATATATATATACAGGGCCGGCGCGAGTAGGTGGAGTGGGGGTGTCATTACAACTTTTGCCGACTAAAAAAAAAAAAAAAAGGTCCTCGTTTTCCAAAAATTGCCGACTGTCATGACGACATTTGCCGACACCCCCCCCACACACCCCTATCGCGCCGGCCTTGTATATATATATATATATATATATATATATATAAACCCAATTGATTTAATTAGGTGTTTTTTTTCCAAGTTAAATTATAGGTTAATCGTCATTGGAATTCTTTTGTTGCCAAAAAAAATTAAAACTTTAGAATTTTGTGATTATTTAATATAAATAAAGTTATATTTTGACATGTCAACAGGTCATCATTTTGACATGCCTACAGGTCATTAACATTAGCAATAGCAACGCAATTAAATAGGGAATAATTATATTGGCTATGTTAAAGATAATTGATAAAGTTATTTTTATATCAGAATAAAATAGTTTTATTAAAATGTGATTTTATTTAAAAATAAGTTTTATAAAAATATTTATAAACTAATTTTTAAAGTATTTAGTTTAAGAGTATTTAGTATCGAAAAAAGAAAAAAATCTAATCGTAAATTGAAATGGAAGGGGGGTTAAACTTTAGTTGTAATTATTAGATACTAAATACTCTTAAATTAAATACTTAAAAAAATAGTTTATAAATATTTTTTTAATACAACATTGATTTTAGTTATCAATAAATTTGATTAATTGATAGCAAAATTTAAAAAAACTATTTTAAAAGTATATGTATTTATGTGTGTGTGCGAGTGTGCTCGCTGTGCGATAAGACTGGTCTTATTGAAGCAGAGCCGTTGTAGCGTTTTTAAATTACTCCGTTAAAATTTTACTGCGCGGAAGTTTTCAACCGTTCAAACTTCATTTGCGGTAAAATAATTATATTGAGTGGGTAGGTACAATCGGTAGAGCAGAGCAGATTGGCAGAGCAGATCATTTGAATAATGTGTGATCTGCCAAATAATATTTGGCAGATCACACATTATGCTCTGCTAATCACACATTATTCAAATAAAATGTTATTTGAATAAAATAATATCAATATTACTTGGCAGATCTCACATTCAAATATTATTTGGCAGATCACACAATAGAAAACGGCTGATTGGATATACTGCTCTGCCGTTATTAACATTACAATAATCTGTTCTGCCAATCTGCTCTGCCGGTTGCATTATGATCTCCCGAAATATTTGGCAGATCACACATTTGGCAGATCAATTTTTTTTGGAAAAGTATTACGACAACAACAAAAAACGTTTATGTTTAAAAATCAAGTCATCTATTAGTTTTTTCTATTTGAAGTGCATCGTTTTTCATAAAAATATTTGCCAATCACTTATAACATTTCTATGATATGATCTGCCAAATTATTTGGCTGATCACACATTAGGAAACGGCTGATTGAATAATCTGCTCTGCCGTTACTAACATTCCAATGATCTGCTCTGCCAATCTGCTCTGCTCTGCCGTGTTGTACCGTAATATTTTAACGTTAAAATTTTACTTCACTCGTTATAATTTTACTGCTTTTTAGTTTACAATTTATATAGCTTATTTTGTCAAGATGTACAAAAATATATAACTTTAATGATGTCAGAAATATTCAAATCACAATGCTTTTCCTGGAGATGTGAATGAAAGAAGAAAAAAAGCAAATTTTAAACAGCAGTGTAAAAATTTTGTTATTGTTGACAATAAGTTGATGTATTGCAAAAAATGTATTTGCGAGGTAAGGAAAACTTGTTTTTATAAAAGAAGTTTTTATTTAATTTAAAAGGTTTTACTTAAATAAAATAAAGTAATTAAAGGTAAATCTGCAGTTAAGCGGCGTAAAATAATTATATTATTTTGCTTTTTGCGCTCTCGTTCGCGGAGACTAAAAAACAAAAGAAATTCAAAACGAGTTTTAATTGCTTTGAAAGGTTTAAAATAAGAAAGCTTTAAAAAAACTTATATTTTTATTTTTAAATATATTTATATATAATAATAATAATAATTATAATATATATGTATATATATATATATTATTATTATATATAAAATAATGCATATTGTATTAATATATTATATAAAAATAATATATTATATATAAATAATAAATATTAAATATTAAAAATAATAAACATTAAATAATAAATTTGGTTAGCGCTTTGACGCTATACTGATTTAGGGGTAGGCGAGGGCTTCAATACAACACGTCGACTGACTTAGGGAAAACTCGCAAGGGAGTTGGTAACACATCGAAGGGTCAGGGTTAGGGCAGGAATCAATTTATTTTCATCATTCTTCCTTTTCCCTCTTTTTTTTAATTAAAAACTAATATCAGCTTTTAAAATTTAATAATTGATTTAAAATTTATTTTTTAATAATTATGATATCTTACGTAACACAACTTTACATAATACGCTCACCACCGTTGATTTTTAAGTAAAAAATATATAATTATTTTACGCCGCTTAACTGCAGATTTACCTAATTAAACAATATTCTTTATTGTGCATTAATTTGAATTAACACAACATTTTTCAAAAATTCGAAAATTTATTGCTTTAAAACAACTCAAAATAATGTAAAAATTTCATACAAATAATTTTTTTTATTGTAGGTGATTGTGGTAATAGATCGGGAAGAACAATTAAACATTGTTAAAGAAGTTTATGAGGGTCTCGGTACTTCTGAGAAAGCTGTTGCATTAGATAGCCACTTAGGAATTAATGCTGTGAGAAAGCAAATTTCTTCAAGATTTTTTTGGCATTCAATTGTGGAGGATATCACCAAACATGTAGCTCAATGTGAACGATGCCAAAAAACCTCTAACAGAAACCTAAAAGTGTCTCCTGCTTTAAAACCTGTTAAAGTAGAACAACAAGTTATGAAACAAGTTGGTGTAGATTTAAATAAATTACCTGAATCAAATGGATTCAATTATGTAATTGTCCTTATAGATTATTTTTCAAAGTGGACTAAAGTAGAACCTCTTATCGTTAAAACAGCAATATCAGTAGCAGCCTTTCTTTATAGAGTTATTTTCAGGCATGGTTGTTTTCAAATACAAATTAATGACCAAGGTTGTGAATTTGTAAATTCAGTATCCATTGCACTTCATGATATGATAGGCGTTCAGCAACGTGTAACCTCTGCTTACCATCCACAAGCTAATGGCCTTGTGGAGAGACAGAACCAGACAATTAAGAAAGCAGTTGTTAAGGTCTTAAATGAAAATGTTAAAAGTTGGACCTCAGTTTTAGATGGAGTCCTTTTTGCTTTACGTGTTAAAGTGCGCGATTCAATGGGGTATTCACCATTTTACCTTATGTATAACCGACAACCCTATCTTCCAATTGATGTAAAGTACACAAATGTACTCGATGGGGATAACTACAATCCTGTATATGATAAAGAAGTTATTATAGTTAAATATTACAAAAAGCTTTTCAAATGAAAAGAGGACTTGAAGAAAAAGCCATGACCAATATTGTTTGTGCACAAAAAAAAAAAAAATTGACTATGATAGAAAGCATACAACACCATCAAAATTTTTTGTGGGTTAAAAAGTACTATTGAGAAATTTAAAAAAAGAAAATAGAAAAGGTGGGAAAATGACTTTCTCGTGGCTTGGTCCATATGAGATACTTGATATTTTGTCAAACTCAACATGTTTATTAAAAAACATTTAAGGGAACAACACAATAAAGAAGAAGTACTCTCTACATCATGTTAAACCATTTGTTGAAGAGAAAAGTAATTCAAAATTGCATAGTTTAACTTCTGAGTGCAACAATCAGGATAAAAGTCAACGTTATTCCAAATTAATGAAACATCCCACCAAAGAAGTTCTTCAAAAAATAGCTGAAGAACAAGGACTTAAAATATTTATAATGCCAGATTTTTTTGATGGAGAAGAAAATGATGTACCTTCAAAAATACATGTTTGCAAAGGTGATGGCAATTGTTTTTTTCGTCCAATTTCGTTTTTGCTGACAGGTTCTGAGTGTCAACATACACGTGTTCGCGATGTTGTTGTTAAGCATATGGTATCAAAGTTTTGTCCGGATATTAAGGCAATGATGTGGAAAACTACATTACCAAAAGTGGTATGGCCACAGATAGTGTATGGGCTACAGATGTTGAGATCCTTGGTACTGCAAATCTTATT